AAAAAAAAAAAAAAAAACACACATATATAACAATAATTATTAATGAGATGTGCATAAGTGTTGAATAATGTCTAAAACAACACAAAACAACCCATAAAGTGTTAAAACGTACAGATATGGCTGGTCCAAGCCCGTCAACAATAATACTAATAGTTTTAAAATATAAGTGATATTATCTCGTAACTTTCACACGGAGGTTGGCAAAATTGGAATGATTTTGAAAATACAAGATGTAATATTAATCTCTATTCCAACATTTGTCACTGAGTTGTTAATGCTAAATATATTGGTTTTAATTCCTACTGTTGTCCTTAGGCATTAAAATCATACCATTTTGAGAGACAAATTTATAAGTACAATGTGTGTAGCATTTATGAAGAAGACATATCATTAGATATGTAGTTGACATTGAAGGACCAGGATGGATGTTTTCACTTTAAATTAAAACTTCCTATCGAGTATTCTGATTCTATAGTTCTCCAAGAAACCTGGTTCGTCCTTTCTTTCAGAATATCCAAACATAATCTGCTTGACTCAAACTGAATTTTACGTGCAAGCATAATTTTCTAAAAATAATAACAAGTCCAAAGGTTCTCAGGATATGTTGAATTTAAGAGGTTAAACAAAATCAATAAATAACATTTGTAGATACCCACTAATTTAAACTCTACAACAATAAACAAAAAACAAAAATAATAAAAACTAATAAATAAATAAATGGAGACCATATATTGTATCACTTATGGTGAATAACATATGATTGCCAACGGAAAATGAGACATCAAATGGAGAAATAAATGTATGCGTGGGTATAGATACTTATAGGCAAAGAACCAACACGTACCAGCTCATATACATAGGCCAAATCTGTCGATAAGTAAAGATGAGCCTGCAGTTAATATGTCATCCACGGATGATGAGTTCAATGATCAAAACCACGGAAACAAATAAATTATTATTAGAATATTTTACTGTACAAATAACAAGAACTGTTGTAGCAATTACACCTGCTCAATGATATCCAGGTTTAAATGTGTCAACTGCTCTTGAAATGTCCCAACAATGCCCACTTCAAGTATCTTGTCGATGTGTAGCAATGAACATATGCTCTATAAAAACAAAGTTCTTACTGTTTTATATTTGTAAAGAAGGGAATACATGGCGAGGACATGCAAACTAAAAGAAGGTAAGGGCAACTAACAAATATAAGCAACATTGGCATCCAAATATAATTGCTGAGTCATGGGTTCTATCATCGTTAGCCATCAAATGCAATCTAAGAATAAATAGTCCTTGCCATTATATATCTCCACATGCAGTATCTAATCCTTTGAATATGGTTTCGAAAAGAGTCCAGTTCAACTTTTTTCTCCAATGGGCAAGTGCGATAGAGTTAGGCAAGCATATTGAGAAGAGAAACTAGTTTGCTTTTAACACTAATTACGACAATTTGACTTCTCAAATTTCTGGATGTATTTGAAATCATTTGCAACCATGATGAATACAAACTGAATCATAGGTACAATTCTTTACTTCAAGAAAAGTGAGCAAAAGGAAAGACTGAGAAAGAGAACGATTATAACCCTTAAGTCAAAAGATGAAGGAAAATATACATATATATATAATATTCTAATAATAACGCAGCCAAAAAGATGTAGAATCCTATCAACTTGTCAAATGATAAAAAGCTATATTTAGATCTAATAACGTAGATATGAAATGCAAAGTACAAAGAACTTGAAATACAAAAGGATGAAGCTGCCAAAAGTATATATTATTCACCAGTATCCAAGTTAAGAATACTATCATACCTTTAGAAGTGCAGTCCAGTCACTAGCTGTACATACAGAACTCGGAGAGTTGATTTTCTTTCACAATTTCAAAACAAATTTACATTAGAACCATGAAAAGTTATACTAGATGTTAAAGAACATTGAAAAAAAAAAAATGGTCCAATCCCGAAATAAAAAGTAGGGAAGACAGTAACTGTAGAGGTTTGCATAATGTAAGTATGATCTTTTCAGTCACAAAATAAATCTAATTGTAGGCATAACAACGCCCGGAATCAAGAGAACCTAAGAGAAGCCTTTTGTACCTTGAGTATGTGAGGAATATCTTTCACAGATTTCAGAGTTTGACGTAAAGAAACCAACAATTCTTCAGCACTAAGAAAGAAAGATATCTTGCTCATTAAGAATAACACTGCAGTAATATTGACAAGGTTACAAAGTTCATGAATCAAACAAAAGATTTTACAAACAGTAAATGGAATAAAATCAAGTCTACTAAAATTCCCAACTAAAAATTTAAAAATCCCAGTATTCAGGCTCATAAAACTTCTGATTAGATTATTGGTGTCCGATAATTATTTCGATTGCATATAACTTGATACACTCAGAACTCTTTCATCTATATTGTATTTTGTATTTAATGTTATGGAGGTTGCAGTAATTCTGTAGTGTGATTCTCAAGTATTTTGAAATTTGAAGCAACAACTGAAGTGGATATGGTAACAGTTGAATGAGTGCAGCCCAAGAAGGATACAGTATCAAGACGAATGTTCAACTTCTCAAGGTCCAGTATAGGCCTCAGGAACCAGTTCCTAGTCAAAAGAGACTATTAACTTCAGAGGACTCGGAAAGAATATGACAGTTGCAGTAGAATTAGACATAGGAAGTATTTACCGTAATAAACGCCTTCCCATTGGTGTTACACACTGAAAGCAAGAAAAATAATTTGTTGAAACAATTTATCAGTTCCAAATTTCAGAGACATTATGATCAGTAAGATACAAGATAGAACTTCCACAAGACCTTATTCATCATCCCATATACCGAGAACCTGAAACAAGACACCAGTGTACATTAGTTTTAAGCATGCATTCAGCAGAATGGTTTCACCATTCATGTACATATGCTCTAGGACAGGAGCATCTTATGGCATTTACCCTTCTTTTGCCCTACCAATACCCATATGACTTGGATGCTTGTCAGTTTGGAATATTTGTAATGCCTCGTGGGCAACAGCATCAACTTTGAGGAAATTATTTCTTCACGTGTTTGTTAAGTATTACACCTGAGCATATTAGATCTAGCTTCCACAAATAAAAGACACAGATATATCATAAAGAAAAAACTTAATCCTGAAAAAGGCATTAAATAGAAAAGTAAACGGCAAAAGATACAATGGAATTTCAGTAATTGAGTTGATAGAAATCGATAAGTTCCCACTTTCCGTCTGCTCAAGGGTGTTTACTATTCTCTCATTCTCTAATATGGCCAGAAGGCCCCCACTGGAACGCACTTGAACTTCACTTCGGACGTCCATCATGGAACTAAGCTACAGTTGAACGGAAGAACATGCACTTGCCTCAAAAATTCAAACAGAGTGGTAAAAACATTACAGTATCTTTAATCCAAGAACCAGGTATGTATGTGCAATTTTTTCTTATGGATTGATTTAAGAGTAGTTCAAGATTCATACTAAATTGTGGAAACGTGGGGATGGCCTCTTCAGATGCCACAGCTCAAATGACTACAGACACTTAAATTTCCAACTATGATGAAGAATATGATATATGATAAAAACAATTTCACGTGAAGCAATCAACCTGATGCATGGTGGTGTTTCAGGAAAGCTAGCACTCTGCACACACTTAACAGAGGAATATGTTCAAGGATAAATGAATTGGATACTAAAGGTCCATTTTATTCTTAGCATTATTATCGTTGTTGCACGGCATACACAACATCAAATTTCTCTCTTCTTATTTTTATAGGACATAAGTTGCTCCTAGAAAGTATAAACAGTCTAGGGAACAAAATCATGCAACAGGATGAAACTTAGTCGCCACTATTACAAAAAAGCTGGCATGCTCAGAAAACTGAGGAAGATGATAGAAAAACAATGTTTATGTAAAACACAAAGTATTCAACTTACAAAAGAGACCCTCTCTTTGATGTTCAATCCTTCATCCATTCCAGTAACCCGCAAGTACATTAGTCTGTTTTATGAAAATACAGAAAACCAGAAAGAGATTTAGTAGAATTGTGCAGTTATGAGAGAGAATATATATAGAAAAACGGAAGAGAGTTGGATAGAGATTCCAAATAACAAATTCATATGCCACAAGATCTACAGAACGCATATCTAATGCTGTTTGAATACTCATCCTACAGGTTCCTACACACAACCAGATGCCACAACATGATTTCTGAGAATTTATTACTTATTTAAAATATGATGGGCACGCATCCTTCTACAGGATCTCCTATAATGCACTTTCCAACATAATGATCAGCTTGTGCACACGCTCAACTAGAGATGAAAGTTCACTCTCGAAGAAGAACATGAATAGAAAGTATAATGAGCAATAAAACTTGATCTGTAGTGCTAAATGGAAAACCTTTTCGAATTCATTTAACTTATCAGCTTCATCTGTACAGATATGATTTTGCAGGTGCGATTCAAAACTATAGACCATGGACGCTCATGGTCTTTATAAGGAAATATGAACTACAAATTCAAAACTCGGCCAGAACTGTTATCTGAAATTGTTAAGCACATATAATGCAGCAGCAAATATATTCGAAGAATCACATCACCTCAATTCATCAGTCAACATGTACTCGTCATACTGGATGAAAATATGGTCATAAAGCTTCCTTATTATTTCATTACCTGTGCCATGCTTGCTCATAGCTGAATAATGAACTCTTTACAAGCTTTACTGCTGGAGGTTCATCTTTTCCATCTGTTTAACCCATCAATTATTAGGAGAGAAAGAAAGAGACAGAGACCGAGACCGAGACAGAGAGAGAGAGAGAGAGGGAGACAGGGAAAAATGTTCCAACTGCAAGAATGAAATATAAGGTATGTGAAAAGTGTACCGTTTTTCTGCAAAGCAGCCAAGAATGATGATTCACTCTTGGTGCTGGTAAAGATGATACAAGGCTTGGCTTGATACTTGACTGCATTAATAGTGAGTAAGTCAAGGTTGAGGTTGAAGCTGAAGTTGCATGAAACCAGGACTAAAAGTTATGTTTCAAGTACCCATTTCAACCAATGGAAAATCTTCATTGCCATCTTCCCATAGTTCCAGAACATGGAGCTGGCAAATACTGGAATCATAATAAGAGATTCCAACTCTGTACAAAGAACTATGCTTACATTAACTATTCCAAAGACATCATAATTAAGCATGTATTTACAACAAAACAATTACCTTCGGCCACACATGATGCATGCCATATACACCTGTAACAGAAAATGCATTAAGGATAACTATTTATGGAAAAAAAAAAAAACACTTCAGATCACATTAATAGAAGCACGCCACAAAAGTTTGTTGAAGTAAAAATGTAGAATAGACCATGAGGGATGAAAAGTGGGGCTTATAAACTTAAATTAGTTTTTGACAATTCTGATGACTACATCCAAATTTTTCACATACAAACAAGCCGAAATCTCAAATGTTAACTAAAAATGTTAAAAAAAATAACAGAAATTCGGGCATGTTTGGTTCTCTAACTCTGCCCACTATGTCTCCCAAATGCTGGTAAAGGTTCCTGTCTCAAGCTATTCATCTTCTACACTTAATACGTGAAACTGGAGCGGCTTCGGTACCAGATCTCTAGCAAAATCGTTTCAATAAAACACATTTGGCAACGATATACAGCTCTTCCAAGATCTAACTATGCGGAAAAAATTACTTCTCGATCCAATTACTTTGTTCTTTTTCCTTGTGTTATATCTTTTATCTCCTTCTGCAGCCACTAAAATTAAACTTAATTAAACAATCTCCTAAAGCTAATATTACTACATCTCATTTCAATCAGAGAAGATAACTCTCCAAGTCCATCAATACAGTAATTAGTTCACAACTGCAGACAATCCTCAATTAATAGACAATTTGTTCTCGGCACCAAAACTCGAACACAATTTCTGCTAATGCTTACTGTTCTTCTCAAACCAAGGAAAGAACCGAAGGATAAAAACAATCTATAATCCGAGCAAATTAGGAAGAGCTGTCGAATTATGCAATAACAAGCTGCTGGAACAGTGTATGCAATAACAACCTGATTCGTAAGCCAATCTCTAAATCATGCGACAAATAGACACGAGAACACGGTGATCGGAAGTAAACCTGCGACTCGGCGTCAGTTTCATCGACTTCTTCCATGGTTCTGAGCTCCAAATCTTTACGGAGAAGAGAGAGAGAGAGAGCAGTGAAAAATTCTTTTAGGTCTTCAAATTGAAGTTCCTCAGGGATTCCCGCTTCTTTTTTGAGTCTATCTTGAGTGATGAAACACGCCGGAGAAAACAAAATGGACCAACGGCCGCATGTGCCTTCCTTTTATACTTGTACTAGTTGTTCATCCATGCGGTGCTATTTGGTTATTTAATTTTTTTTATTTTGAAAACAATTAGTATTAATTCAAGACTAGTACAACACCCGTGTATTACACGAGTGCTTGTTAAAAAATTATATTTAAATTTTAAGATTAATGAGAAAATAATATTAAAATTATTTTATTTTTTTCCAAAAAAATATATTATTATATATTTTAGAATGATATGTGTTACTTATGACTTACGTGTGTTATATTATATTAATTTTTATTACTTATATCATATAACTACTTAAAATATAAATATATTAGTTGATAAATAATTTTATTTTTCTGATTAATATTATAAATAATTTTGTTGTTATTATAAAGATAAATATAAATGGATGTTAAATCGAAACTTATCAAAAGAAAAAGAAGATTAATTTGATATAATACATGCGTACTGATAAAAATACAAAAGTTATTAACTTTTAAAATACATATACAATTCAATAGTTATACAAAAGTTATTAACTTTTAAATATATATACACAGTTTTGCTATGGAGCCATCGGATGGCTCGCCTTATGGAACCATCCACAGTTATTCACAAATAGGGTATTGACACGTGTTCTACAATAAATGCACTTTGGACAAGTGTCAATACACTAAGTCATGGATGGCTCCATAAAAAAACCATCCGATGGCTCCATAGAATTTCTGTATATATACAATTCAATAGTTATAATAAGAAATTATATTAAAATGCAATTAAAACATTTAACATGACCATAAATAATCAACATATTTATGGTAATCCGAACCTAATTATTTTTGGTTTGGAATTAAATTAAAACTAGTACAACACCCGTGTATTACACGGGTGCTTGTTAAAAATTTATTCTTAAATTTTAAAATTAATGAGAAAACTGAATTAAATTTAGTTATAAAAAAATTATATTACCATATATTTTAGAATGATATCATATGTGTTACTTATGACTTACATGTGTTATATTATATTAGTTGTTACAACTTATATCATATAACTACTTGAAATATAAATATATTAGTTGATAAATAATTTTATTTTGCTAATTAAAATTAAAAATAATTTTATTATTGTTATAAAGATAAATATAAATTATTTTTTTTATACATACAATATGGATGTTAATCGAAGTTCATCAAAAGAAAATTAATTTAATATATTACATATATAAAATTGATAAAAAATACAAAAGTTATTAACTTTTAAAATATATATACAATTTAATAGTTATAATAAGGAATGATATTAAAATACAATTAATACATGTAAGATGACCATAAATAATCAACATATTTATGGTAATCCGAACCTAATTATTTTTGGTTTGGAATTAAATTAAAATTTATTCAAGCCTAATAACGAAGCATGTAATTTTGCCACATAAGATTTCGAAACACCAGAAGCAACCACGTAGGCCCAGCGCGTTCTGTATTAATATATAGGGGGGATTTACCCAAGCCTAATAACGAAGCATGTAATTTTGCCACATAGGATTTCGAAGCACCAGAAGCAACCACGTAGGATCAGCGCGTTATGGATTAATATATGGGGAGATATCCTGTATTGTTTTTGTTTGTAAATGCTTGTTTAATTTGGAACTTATACAATACCATAATTTATACAAAAATTATTAGAAAATATGTATAAGAGACATTTTTATTTAAATTAATTTTTTTTAAAATAAATCCATTATTAATTACTTCAATTAAAAAATAAGTAATTTTTTTAAAACATTTTTTTAAGAGAATATCAACTTCAAACCGATCAGTTTAACTATATGTTACATTATAATTATATTCTTTGATGAAACAGTAATTATCCGATAACTCGTTTCGGACATAAAATTCCTTTTTGTCGTCGTGTGGAAAATCCGATAACTCGTTTCGGACCCTTTCTCTCGGCACAAGTCGTGCGCATATGCGACCTAAACAACTCGTAACGAGTCGAGCAAGACCACGTGCGTGCATCGTATTTATATGCCTATGGTTATAGCCAATTATGAACATGTGTCATAATCTATGTTTCATATGGACAGCACCAAAAAAAAAAAATAAACAAGAGTGGAAGACCCAACAATCAGAAAAATAATCCCATCAAAACATAAACAATCCCTTAGAAGTTCTAATAGTAGAAATTTTAAGCTCAGAAAATGAGTTTTGATTTCTTAGAGAAAAAAATAAAAATAAAAATAAACTAGATGCACTGCCAAGTTTAAATCCCAGAATACACACAAGCTTGATTTTAGTCCCAACATGCAAACCAACTAGAGGAGTTTAGTTCTCCAACATCATTCTCCAACAACACCAATTACGGAGGATAAAATGGTTTTGCACATTTGTTCTAGTAATTTCATTGCCACCTTCCCATCCATTGAGGAGCATGCATTGAGTGTTGAGTACACTCACAACATGTCAACACTAACATAATCACTTTAAAATATTAACAGAATAATTACACAAACACAATATAAATCAAAATAAATATTTCACTTATCAAAACCAAAACATACACTATTTATTTTATAATACACACTCCTCACTCAATATATTTCTCAGCAACTCACTCACATTCACACTCCAATATAATAATAGAACACCTATTTATACCATTCTAAGGAACAATCTAGTACACTCCAACGTAATAATAGACACCTATTTATACTATTCTGAGGAACAATCTAGTATGTCGGTTACCATTTGCCATATCCTAAGTTCTAGATAATTCTAACATCATTTAATTGTCTAATTTATTGGTCATATATTTAATTAGCTTGCCATCGTTTAGAAGTTGCTCCATAATTCTAGGAGAAAATTACTCCCCTTACTTTTGCTTATGAACATAATATCATAATTACGAATACCAAAAAGTTTCATCAAAAATACGTTGAGGCAGTTATTGGGGCCTAATTAATAGCTAATTGGATAGAATTATTAATTAGAAAAGAAACTCTCTCTCTCCATATCCGATAGAAATTCATCTCTCATCTTTCTCACCAAAAATATTTCATCTCTCTCATCTCTCATACATAGAAAGCTTCCGCCTCTCATCTCTCTCATCTCTCCATCTCTCTCGTCTCTCATACTCAAAAAGTTTTGCATCTCGGCGACAGAAATTTTAAAATTTGAAATTAGAGACGAAGCAAACAATGTCGAAGTGTAAAGAAATTGAGGGCAAACCATCCAATTCCAGAAATTGCAGAAATTGGATGCTCCTAAGAAAGCACCAATTCCGAATCCTGCCGAGAATGAGTCGACCGACGACGATGATTTTGTCTCTGAACATAAAATCGAACACAAAGAGAGAAAGGTGATTGACGACCCCAAGAAGAAAAGGGTTCGAAGAAAAAAACGAAGAGAAAAATTTTGATACTCCAAAGTATCCACGCCGATTCGGATTTCAATATTGACGAGGAAGAAGAATCTCATTCGAGTGAAATGGGTTCAGATGTACAAAAAGACGACAAGAACACGGTCACGTATATCCCAAAGTTTGACCCAAAAAATCGTTAGCGTCGACAGAATTTTTTGAAGAAAAGAGAGTTCAAGAAAAAATCGGCCCCACACCAAGGAAGAGGAG